AAAAATATTTTTCTTAGAAAAAGATATTCAGAATACTTGGGTGAGCTATTTTGATAAACTTTTCAATGAAATTTATGAAAATACGATCGACCTTAGTGATCTTAATAGCGTTAATAATAATAATAAATATCTTATTTTTATTTTCGCTTTAGTAAAAAAAGTTTAGGAGACTTTAAAAAAAATCAAGGGTGAAAAATTAGTAGAATCTGATGATATATTAATTGAAGTGTGGAAATGTTTAGGATTTTAGGCTTTGTTAGCTTATTAAAATCTTTAATATTATTTTAAAATCTAAAAAGATGTCTGAGGAGTGAAGGAAGAGTTTTGGTCTTTTGGTCTCCATTTTTAAATTGGTCTCCATTTTTAAAAATAAAGGGGATGCACCAGAGTGTGCAAATTATAAAGGAATTAAGTTGATGTCATACTTTAAAATTTTGAGAGAGGGTAATTAAATGTATATTAAGATGTATTACAAAGATTCTCATAGTTTGGATTTATGCCATGCAGGTCTACTATGGATGTTATATATTTATTGAGAGGTTTGATGAAGAAGTATAGAGAGAATTAGGAGAATCTTCATATGATTTTTATTGATTTAGAAAAAGCTTACGATAAGGTTCCAAGAGAAATCATTTAGAGTACTAGAGAAGAAATATTTTGATTTGACTTATTTTAAAGTCATTAAAGATATATATACTAGACTTATTACTTGTGTTCAAACAAGAGGATTGACCCAATATTTTCCGATTTTAGCTGGATTACATTAGGGATCGACTTTAAGCCATATCTTTTTGCTTTCGTTATGGAAGCTCTTGGACATTTACAGGAGGATGTACCTTGGTGTATGCTTTTCGCTGATGATATCCTCCTTGTGGATAAAACTAGAGAAAGAGCTCAGGGAAAACTTGAATTATGAAAGCCTACATCAGAGACTAAAGGCCTTCATTTGAGTAGAACTAAAGCCGAATACATGGAATGTAGCTTTAGTAGTAGTAGCTTTAGTGGCAAAGTTGTAAGTATGGGTGATCAAATCATTAAAAGGTGTGAACGCTTTAGATATCTTGAATCTATTGTTCAGAGTGATGGTGATATAGATGGGGATGTTATTAGTAGAATTCAAGTTGGTTTTTTGAAGTGGAGGAATGCATCAGGCCTATTGTGTCATAGAAAAATACCGCTTGTACTAAAGAAAAGAAATTTAGGAGATCGTGGTGAGACCTGTAATGCTCTATGGAGCTGAATGTTGGCCTTTGAAAGAGAAGCATAAAACAAAGTTAAGTGTTATCGAGATGAGATAACTTAGGTGGATGAGTGGCTTGACACTTAGAGACAAAATGCTAAATGAATATATCCATGATAGAGTTGGTGTAGCTCCAGTGGCGGATAAAATTTGAAAGAGTCGTCTTAGATGGTTTGGTCACATTAAGCAACGACCATCTGATGATCCAGTTAGGAGAGTAGATGTTTTAGATTTGACTTGTGTTAAGAAAGACAGAGGTAAACCTATTAAGACATTGGTATATTGTATAAAAAATGATCTTATATATTGTATAAAAAATGATCTTTAAAAAATGATCTTAATTTATTAAAAACTAAATGAAACTATGACACTCAATAGGATGCAATGGAGAAAATGGATTCATGTAGTTGACCCAGTAACTTAGTGGGATAAAGGCTTGTTGCTGTTGTTTGTCATAGTCCATCTTCTTGTACGTCTATGACAGAGGGAAAAATGGACTAAATTTTGGCTTCATAAATGATAGATTCCAAATACCATGCCTAAAAAATTAATGACCACATGGTTATGCCATGACAAATAAATTTCATGATCACAAAGGTTGGAGAAAATTTTTACTCTATAAGACAACCAAATAGATATGGGAGGTCGCACGTGAAATCTACTCTAGCACTGAAAACTCCTTAGAATAAGTTGAGATTTAGACCAAATTACATGATCTATGAACAGGAGAATTGAGTGTTACTTAATATTTTAATACCCTCACATGTTGTTGACTATAACTAAATATGCATGAGATTTATTCATGGAAATCTCTTGATGACTCTAGCTTGTATAGAAGAATTACTGAACAAAACAGAACCATCAAATTTCTCCTTGTCCTCAATAAGGACTTAGATGAAGTCATGGAGAGAGTCACGGGAAGTAAACCCATCCCTACCATTCGACAAGTCTCTGCAGAGATTCAAAGGGAAGAGAATAGAAAGAAGTTGGTTATGGCATACAATCACACCTCACAATCTGTTGAATGATCAGTCTTATATGCTCAAAATTCCTCTCAGAATAAAAAGCTCAAGAAAGGAGATCGTGGTACGAGAATTGTAAGAAACTTGGTCATGTGAAGAAAGAAATATTAGAAATTACACAGTAAACTTGCATATTGGAAGTCATCTAATGAAAAATATGATATTTAAGAACCAAACAAATACTGTTGTCGCAATCAACTCAAAATGTCGGTCGTTCACTAGGGAGCAAATTGAGGTGTTGCAGAAATTTTAGTAATAGTTTCAATTCCGGACAAGCATCACAATCCTCTGTCGATACCTATGTATCTTTCAATGTCCAAAGCAACAAATTAAATTTTGGTTAGTTGACTCTAAGCATCAAATCATATTACGGGAGATATCAACATATTAAAAAATTACAATACCTGTACCAATCATTATGTACTTTGAATTGTTGTTGGTTCATTCTCACCACTAGCAAGAATTGGATCAGTCGAATTAACAAAGTATCTTCATCTCTACTCTGTTCTTTTTGTTCCAAAATTAAACTACAATCTACTCTCAATCAGCAAACTTGTGACCTAAAATGTTTGAATAAATTTTATTCTATTTATTGTGATTTTTAGGTTGCGGATTCGGGGAAGGCAATTGGCAATACTGAGATGCATAATAGTTAATACTTGCTCAAAAATAATAATTTCATTAGTAAGCGATGTTATAAGGATGCCTATTCTCACGGTCACATACCTCGTTAATAGGGTTGCCTACTCGAATCCTAAAATTTTAAGTTTTCCGTAAGTTCTCATGGAATCATATCCCACACATCTGCTCTTTTTTTCTGACTTATCATTAAAGGGTTTTTTTTTGGTTATTATGCCTTTATTGATATCCATTAACAATATCGCGCCAAACTTGATTCCAAGTCTCTCAGACACATCTTACTCGGTGACGCAGGGCTTTGGAGGGCTAAATCACTGGAGAATGCAGAACCAATTCAACCTTGTTGCTGTTTGGGTCGGCTAGTCTAAAGGGGCTGGTTTTACTGCCTAAAGAGAGGAGATTCACCTTCCTAGTTATCTATTAGTATATGAATTTTGTTTTGATTGTTTCTAGTTTAGTTTTTTCTTTATTGGGTTCAAATTTCTCATCATCAACGTTTCTCCCTTCTCAAGATTGTATCCAAAGACATGTGGTGTTCCGACTGTATCCTGCTCCAAGGTGGTGACTATCTTCCTACATCTCTGTGACTACTTTCTTACCGCCACTACCCAGCCTCCGCCCAACCTTCTCTGTTTTCCTGTCGTCACCTTCCTACTGCCCAAAACCTATTGTCATCCCCTCCTTGCCTTCCAATCTACAGCTGCCAATCTCATCCCCTCAATCCCTTGACCTTTCCACCTACCTCCTTAACTCCTTCCCCATGACCCAACCTGCTATCGTAGACCCATCTCCAACCCTCCTACTCCTGCCACCACCCCTTACCTACCTTCCCACTGTTGTCTCAATCCCAAAACTGTCCAACTGCTGCTCACCACCTTCGTCCTCACCCTAGGGTGTTGTGCGTGTTCTTATCATTGTTATTTCTATTCTAAGAAACTTGTTATTGTACTGGCAATAATATTTCGAGTTTGTTGCATTCTTAAATCCGATGTTAATTAGTATCAGAGCTGGCATAACCCTAGTTATATCCTAGAGTTTCTTTGCATCCACCTTACCCCCCATCAAATTTTTTTCTTTCTTATCCTCAATCATCTCTTCTAATCCCCCAAACCCCAATCATGCCAACCCCCCCCCAAAATGAGATATATGTTGGAACCTACCCGGGACAAGACACAACGAGATATTCGTTGGTTTCAACGAAGGCTTGTGAAGATTTTTGATGGAACCTAAGAGGAGATTATCCTCGACCATGATCTAAAGAGTCGAAAGTGAGAAAGGAATAAGGATCCGAATTTGTTTCATAGTGAAGGCCGTCGGTCACGAGGCATACAAGCTCTGACGCATCAAAATTCAATATAAAAGGCGGCAGAGAGAGGAGACTACATATGAAGGACACGGAGATTTCAACATCAAAGTCCCGATGTGATTCTTTTTATTGGAGTTCAGCTACAAGAGCAAGTGTGATGCGATGTGATTCTTATGGACTCGTCCCATATTCTGTTGGAGAGTCCATGGTAGTTTGACTGCAAGACCCGACACGATGTCTTCAAGAATAGAAAACACATTGTGCTATTACCTACCAAGGTACTGATAGTGTGCGAGACTGGGTTTGAGAATCATTATATCCACTATTTACTTTCCATCGAGGCTTTCTCATGATAAAATGTCTTAAACTAATCAATACAAAGTACAATATAAAAATAAAATTTATCTTGAGCACAGAACATCGATGTAAATAAAGCATGACATCATTTGTCCATGATGAACCTGCATTAGTATACCATGCAAAATCCTTCATACTACTTTTGAGAAGAATGACATCAGGAGTGTGAAAGATGAGCAATTTACTTATTGCCTTCATTTTGGAAACTATAAGTTTGGCTTCACGTACTTTTTAAATGAACACAAGTTGTGAATATCCAGATTTCATGAAAACCTGAATAAACCATCAGAAATTAATAACCAAAATAGAAAGTTGAAGATGCAACGAATCAAAACCAACCACCCACAAGCTTCTCTTTATTTTATCCCGCACCATCTTAAATTAGATTCTTTAATTCAGTGATACTTCTTACTTCTTATGTTTATGACAACTTCAGGTTGCCCTCGAGATATCATCCTTCTCCAAATACGCTGGATTCACCGGTGTTCGCCTCGGCTGGACTGTTATTCCCAAGCAGCTTCTTTTCACCGACGGATTCCCGGTCGCCAAGGACTTCAATCGCATCGTCTGCACCAGCTTCAATGGTGCATCCAATGTCGTCCAAGCCGGAGGGCTGGCTTGTCTCTCCCCAGATGGTTTAAAGGTCAGTTGTGTAAGCTTCCGGATACAAATTTGAAGGAAGATGAACATATAGAGCAAACCTTTTGTGCAGGCCATGGAGACTGTGGTTAGCTTCTACCAAGAGAACGCCAATATACTCATCGACACCTTCGCTTCACTTGGTTTTAAAGTCTATGGAGGAAATAATGCTCCATATGTTTGGGTTCATTTTCCTGGGAGAAGCTCGTGGGATGTTTTCGCCGAGGTCCTGGAGAAAACCCACCTGGTGATGACGCCGGGAAGCGGATTTGGACCTGGGGGTGAAGGCTTTATGCGGGTTAGCGCCTTTGGACACCGGGAGAATGTGCTAGAAGCTTCTAGGAGATTGAAACATCTTTTCAAGTAAATCTGGAGGTGCAGTGGTGTTCTTCCTTGCAGTGATGCTTCTAAGCAATTCTTAAAGCTGCCATTTAGGGATCATTCTCTCCTCTCAACCAAGAGCTTGATTTTTATTGTTGGCAGATCATACTTTGTAGGGTACAATTGCAGTTTGTTTGAAAATTTTGAGGTGTGTTTTGCTTTGGATGTTTGGTAGCTTTTTTTGGGTTTGAAGGATCATCGAACTTATCAGCGAACTTTATGATTAGTGTTAATTTGGAAATGAAAATATATTTTTGAAAGTTGAAGACAGATCTAGTAGTGTAACATCAGCGTATAACCTAACGGATAGATTATTGAAGTGGATCATTCTATCATTGTTTTGTTCTGGCATTTGTGGGTGAATTCAATAATAAGGTTTTTTACTGTTTTTGTTTTTTTTTTTAATTAATAGACAGACAGATGAATGGAGACATAAGTTGCACTTTTTTTTTTTTTACCATATCAAAATTTTTCAAATGAAGTTGGGCTATATGTTCAGTAAAATTTGACACACTCTCTTCCCCTCAGTCTTATCCTCATACTATCACACGGAAAAAATTTTTATACGCACTTTAGACGTAGTTCTACGTGTGGACTTTAATAAAATATTGTCACGTGTGTTTTATTGCAGGGGTTATTTCTGGACTATTGAAGTGAAATTGTGGAGGTTATTTCGAAATTATTTTAGGGTTATTGAAGAAAAACTCATATTCTACTTCAATACTTCGAAATAACTTTCTTGGTTTCACCTTATTACGAAGTTTATTTCGGGGTTATTTCTAGGTTATTTAAGAGAAATTCATATATTTTACTTCAATAATCTCAAAATAATAACACGAAGGTTCTTTCGGGATTATTGAAGAGAAATTCATGCATTCCACTTTAATAATCCCGAAATAACACCGTTGAGGTTATTTCGGGTTTATTGCGGGGGTTATTGAAATCTGCAGTTTATTTTTTTAGATGGGCGTGATATAGCACGCATAACAGTTTATTATTGGGAGTCCGCATGTAGAGCTACGTCTGGTGTTCGTATAGAAATTTTTTCTCTACCTCACAAACTCTCTCCCTCCCCAGCTCTCTCTCTCTCTCTCTCTCTCTCTCCCCCTCCCTCTCTCCCTCATAATGGAGTGTGACTAATGAATAAAGAAAAATTTTCGATGGTTCTAATGTTAATTTTTTAATTTGTGATTAAAATATTATATTTAATATTTTGGATAGTTAGTATATAAAAAAATATTATATATAATATCAGTTAAGATTAAATTTTGAGAAATTAATTTAACTTAAAAAATAATTTAACCTGTCATAAATTAAAATTTAAATTAAAATGATACACATGATTGGATAACTAAGTATTACTTTAAACAATTGTTTCAACATAAATTTGTACTCTGTGATATCAAAATCTGAAGAAAATGAAATGCGTTTTTTTTTTAACTAAAAATATATTCTAAATATTTTTCTAAGTTGGAATTTAAGCACAGTTATCTACGATTAGAAATAAGTCTAGTTACATGTACGGAGAGCATAAGATTAAGGGTCTGTTTGGGGCAGCTTACAAGTGTGGATGACATTTTCAAAACTCTGTCGTACTGTTTGGTTCGACCGTTTCTTCAGTTTATCGAAAACCGCATTTGGGTTTTAACACTAAACGCAGGCAGCAGGACGAAACCCACGGCCCGCCCACTGGCCGCTTTTCAGTATATGACATTTCAGGATAAGCAGTTTATCCTGAAACGCACAAGCTGTCCCAAACGCACCCTAAGTCATAAATTAATTTTTAATTATAGTGCTCATAAATGTTTAATTTTAAAAAGACACTATAGAACAAGCCGAACCTGTGATTTCTAGTGTGAGAATAAAGAAATATAACACTAACTGCAACTAAAAAATCACTAACAATAAGCATCTAATATTAATTAAATTCTTTAAATAATGATACAAATAATTTGATGATACCCTTCCATAAATAAATAAGGATAAAAGAGGTGCATTTACATACATCCACACACTTTTTATGCATTTACAAATTAAATAAACTTTAATTTTATATTTATGACACATTTTTTTTATATTACATAAAAAAAAACATATAAAAAATGAAAGTTTAGATGTTCGATATATAAATGTACAAATAAATAATTAAATACATAACAAACCTTATGGCTAATTTTTCCACCATTGAAAAACACTTTTTTTTTAAATCATCAAATCAAACCATCCTCTCACTTCCCCACAAAATGGGAAAAAATTTGCATGTGTAAGATGTACGCAAAACGTATGTAACCTGTAAATAGGTTACAGGGAGGGTATTGGGAGGTTATAAACGCGTTATACCCCATATAACCTCCATGTAACCTACATATACCTTCTAGTAAGTTTCGCGCTTCTGTTTTCATATATTTGTAGGTTACAGTAAGTTACATGGAAATTACAGGGGGTATAACGCGGTTATAACCCCCCAATACCCTCCTTTTAAACTATTTGTAGGTTACAGACGTATGCAGCTCACGTACGCAATTTTTTTCCTACAAAATAAAACTAGTTAGTCATCCATCATTAATCGGCCAACCCAAGGTCAAAATCATAGCCGAAGAACGCCCCCGACACCGCGGCGGCGCAGGCAGAAGAAGAGAACGGCTGCCGGAGGCGAAATCGCCGCCGGCCGGGGGTTCTGATACTCCGGCGAGCAAGCGGCGGATGCTGGCCGAGCGAGATGGTCGAATTCTGTGGGACCCGCGGTTCCTCTCCTCTGCTGAGAAAACTGCTGAGGATTTGGTGAGGATGAGGTATACCAGACCCTGAATCAAAGCAAAAATCGCTACCTTTATTAGAAAATCCGGCGAAGTATACCACAAGGTGTGGTCTTCCATGGCCGACAACAGTTTTTGAGGATCCAAATTAAGATCAAAATTACTAATTGAAGAAGAAGAGGAAGAAGAAGAGAATTTTGGGCTTGCTTTGTAATTTTGTTGATCAAGGATGGGATTGTGTGTATATATATAGAGAGAAAAAGGAGGCTAAGGTTTTTTTCTGGATGGTTGGAACTTCTTCGTGGATGATACGTAAGCTCTGATGTATATGATATGGCTCTTCTTCTGCGAAATTGATGGCACGTTTAAAGTGTGGGGAAGTGGGGCGATGATGTACGTGTATATTATTTTAGAAAGAGATTTTCAATTTTGAAGACTAAAGCGAGGTGATGGTCAACATTACCTCGTCTTCTTGTGTTTTGATTGTTGACTTCTAGCAGTTTTCCACGCTTCTTTGTATATATAAGAAGATATATACAGTAGTGTTTTAGCCGGCTTATATTTGGAGATCAAAAAGTGTGTTCGTGTTGAGATCGTTTACTTAGCGAGCCGTACACGAGTTGTTCACGAACAAAGAGGACAACCCTAATCATGTAGACATAAGACATTAAGTGTTGAGGCAATATTTAAAAATTATTGTTATATTAAAACATCATTTGAATCTAATTTAATAATTTTTATTATGTTTTCTTAATTAATGTTTTTAATTGATTATAATTCATTATAGCCTTGCAGTCAATTAATTTTTTTTTAAAATACTACTCAACAATATGTATATATATATATATATATATACATATATATATATATATA